CCAGGGAAAGACTTTAAAGTGAGTTTACACCCTTTAGCCTCTTGTGGTGAGGTCTTGCTGCCTCTGAGATGCCTTCAGGGCATTTTTCCTACTGTCCTCAGGCAAAGTAATGGACGTGCTGATCTCTTTAACAACCACACCTTTCAACACACTTCTTTTCCAACCTAACTGCATGTTTTCAAATCTTTCCATTCTGCTTTTGGCTTCCAATTCTCAGCTAAAAGCAGTCAGCAAAACCCAAGCCAAAGCCTGAATGCTAGACTGCATTTGACATTTCCTCCTCAGATGAATTAGTATTGTCTTTATACAGCCTCCCACAAAGTCTTAGGACATGGACAAAATGTACACAAATTCTTTGTCACCATTTAAAATGGATGGCCTCTACAAAAATTTCCGGTAGAGTCCTGGGTCCCATCTGAAGCCTCAGGAGCACACTCGCTACTGCCTGCTTCCTATCTGCATTCCTGCTGGCCTCTCGGCCTCATTGCTGTTGTTCTGAAGCACAGCGTCATGGTGCACAGGGAGTAGTGCAGCAGGATGCAGAGTCAGAGAGCAAAGGGCAGGGGATAATTCTTCAAAGACACACCCTCAGTGACCTGAATCCTCCAACCAAGTCCCACCTCCTAATATGTCCATTACCTCCTAATAATGCCATCAAATCATGAATTGCCAGTGGATGAATCCACTCATTGTGTCAAAGTCCTCATGATACAATCACCTCCCAATGACTTGATCCACCAGCCGGGACAAAGGCCTCAACACACGAGTTTTTTGTGGGTCCATTTCATGTCCAAACCACACAATAGGGAAAACCCAGATTTGATACTACTGAAAACTACTTTTCTAGAACAAGGTACCCAGCCACATAGGAAGTGGAAATTCTAAACACAGGGCAAATTTGGTGCTAGGGACCCTTGGGAGATGACTGCCCTTGTCTCCTGCTTCTGTAGTCCGATGCTGAGCTGGTAGGTATTCTGATGCACACCTTCTATGGGGCAACTTGTTTTTTCAAGTTCACTCATTGAAGGTGTGGATTTTCTAGCTTTCTTCCTTTATGCACTGGAGAGCGAGCCCTGTCTGCCTCCCAGGCCATCTCCTGATAGCCCATGCTGGGCTACAAACACCAGGGCCAGTGACGGACACCTCCCTGCACATCACTGTCTGAACGGTAGGTGAGCATGTCTGTGCTTGGAGTGCTATGGCTCTCTGAGTGTCCTGCACACCACAGGGCTTTTGATGTGATCTTCACTAAGTTATGCAGCAGCACCCCTGGGATGGTAAATGAGCAGGACGGTTGTTAATGCTGCCTTAACTCTGCAATCACCTTTGTCACAGTAGACCAACAATGCTCTCTTCCTGAACCTTGGATTCCTAACTAGTAAAATGAGGACATGAAATTCTCTAAAACACCATCCAGCTATAATTCTGCAATGACTTAAAGGACAAATATAGAGATCGATGAAGAACCTGTCTCTATATGCAACTTTCCCCACATTCATTATGATTTAGAAACAAATGTATGTCAAGGTTACAGTGACAAATATGAAAATAAAGTGGTTTAAACAAAAACTCTGGACCATGTAAAGAGCCAGCTTTCTCCTGTAAACTCACACACTCTCATGAGAGGCAGAGAAAGCAGAGGCTTTTAAGCCTTCACCATGCCATGCTGATCTCCAAAGGATGGGAAACAGATAAAACACAAACTCACAGATGCTAAATCTGGTGTTGAATCAGCAGAATTTGAAAATCTACTGGTTTTCTTATGCAGTAAATTTAGCTTGGAACCCCCTTTTGTGACAAAACGGGTATCTACCATTGATAATGTGCCTGTTCTTTCAGAAAACCAAGCACAAGTTTCCCCATTACCATGACTCTGCAGTGGACAGTGAACACCATGAATGCGGGGCAGCCTGGTGAGGTTTCAGGACAGCCAGGTCCCCTGTGAGGTCCTCTGCTGTGGGGCTGGAGTTTGAAGAAGGACTTCCCCAGAAGCAGCTCCAAATGTGAAAGTTAATTTTCATTGTTAGTTACTCTTGGGAAAAACGAATCTTGAAAATCAAAGTCACCAGAACTGCACAGGTGGCTTTGGACATAACCCTTGGCAGTGGCACACAGACCTAGCCCCAGGGGGTGCTCCAGCTTGGACACCACTGAGATGCACAAGCCAGCTACTGAGGAAGAATGAGCTGGGTTTTTAACATTAGCGTCCCTAAGTTTTGTCAACTGTGACTGGGAGAGCAACAGACTGCAGTGCTGGGAGATTTCGAGAACTGTAGTATTGCTCAGTGTAGTTCAGGCACACTGTAGCATGAGAGCCAGAGTTTATGAGGATTTCAGTGGTGGTGGTATTTATGGCTTTGGCTCCAAAGTTGAGCTGAGTCTGCTTGACTTTAATACCTGTGTCACGCCCTCCATAAATATGTGGTGAACTGAATGTCATGACATCCACACAGGGACTCAAGTTCCCAAGATATAAAATCCTCATCACTGCTGCCGTTAACCAGCTTTAGAATTACTGAACTTTACATTTCTGCTCATCAGAATTATTGGACATAGAAAATAATTACTTCTCATCAGAGTCCCAAGAGAGAACAATGTGCAACACATTCCACCACACGGATCCGGTAAGAATTGTTGTGCTCTTCACACAGAGAACCCATGGGATGATCTGCCTCTGATTCTAAAAGCAGCTATGACCTTGGCTATCAGTGGTCCTCATTCTCTAAGCTTGTAGAAAACCCTCAGGGCAAGAATGGCTCATTTTCTCACTGCCTGAGCAGAACCAGGTCCCCTGTTCCCCAGATAATAGGATGGATCCCAGCGTAGTCCCATGCCTGGGGCTGTGGGAAGTCAACTTGGGGGATCTCAGGACCTCCTTATGCGTTTCTGTGTATGGAAATTCCTCTGAGTGCCCTGTCACCAACCCAAGTAACCAGGTTGTGTCATAAACGTCTGTTCACTATACTTGTGAAGGGGAAGGGGTCACAGGGAGCCAGCACAGACCATGAGGGATCCAGCCTGAAACTGCTCATGTTAATTGTGTGTTCTCCCTCCCCTTTTCTACAGCAGGAACTCTTAACGTTAAATCTTCTAGTGTGTCCAGGTATCAGTGATTCACCTGGAGTTGTACCAGAAGTTCAAGTGTCAGAGCATCTTGCCCATTCCCTTAGGCAAGACTCTTCATTTTTACCAAGAAAGTAGAGATCTGGGCATTATGAAAAAAAAAAAGCATAAGTTATTCTCCCTGGACAACACAGCATGAAAACATTTATTGTTTTCCTTTGTCTGAGACTTTCTATAATTAAAAACAATCCCTCCTTGCTAAGCAGGGCAATTTCCATGCTTACAGCACATGCCCCATTCCTTCCCTCCCCAATCTCACCTTGTCCACGGTTTAGAACAAACAGAGGAATAAGAAGTCAAACAAAAGTTCGGTGCCCAGATCACATAAAGGTGGACGAGCCATTAATCCACACTTTTGAAAGAAACCAACTCACAGTCAGTGGGAGCCCTGAAGGAGCCAGGGACATGCAGTGGGGACAAGTCACAAGGACCCCCAGGCCAAGGTCCACGACTGGACTCAGGTTAGGGAAGTGTGGCGGGAAAGACCAAGCGTCCTCCTCAGCCTTGGGAGCACAGAGCACTGGAGCAGGAGGCCGACTGCAGGGCACATGGATGTGGGGGTGTGGGCACCCTCGGGTGGGAGGGGCAGAGGCAGGACACAGAAGGAGGGCCTTTCAGATGCATGACACCAGCAAGGCAGGTCACAGGGTGGCACTCCTAGGATGGAAGGTGCTATAGGGAGATCCTGTTGGACGTTCTCCCCGAAGACACTCCACTTTTCCAGCAAGATGCTCCTGAGGAAGCCCTGGTCACAGCTTTCCAAATCAGAGAGAAAGCATGTGTCATTGCATTTCCAAAGCAAAGCACATGTGAATTCAGAAAACCAAATAAATACAGGTTTCCTGAGTCTGGGCTGTCCAAAGAGCCATCATGAACTTGGAAGTGGAACACTTTTTGGAAGAGTTTCAAAACACACGGGTGTGAGCTTCTTTGCATCTGTATGAGTTCCTGAATATCAGTGCTGGTATCTAACGTGCATATTTAAAGGAGGGAGTGGTGAAAGCTCTGTGAGTACTATGTATCTCAAATTACTTAAACCTTCTAGAAGGAGAACCAGGGAATGGGCACATTGACTATGATTTTAATATAGTACATTTAACATATCTAGGTCTGAGTTAAACACTGAGATGAAAGCTGCAGAAATATTTCCATAATTATTCAAGATTGTACTGCAGCTAATAAAAATTTGACCCTTAACAGAATGTCAGGTCTGGTGTGGTGGTTCATATCTATAATCCCAGCTACTTGAGAGGTGGAAATAGGCGGCTCAAGTCCCAGGCCTGCACAGGGAAAGTTACTGCAATATCCTATCTGAAACACTAACGAAAAGCAAAAGGGCTGGGGTGTGGTTCTTGCCTAGCACACACAAGGTCCTGAGTTCAAACCCAAGTACCACTGAAAAGAGAGTCAATGTGAGTCAGGAATACAACTGAAGTCAGGAAGGACCAAGCCCCAGCACGAAAACCCACAGTGTGCAGGCCAGGGCTCAGCGGGGCTGCTCTACTTCCTGGGGTCCTGGCAGATGGAACCTAGTCAGAGCCGTTTCAGTGAGTGGACTGTCCACCATAGTTTGTCTTTTTAGTATCCAACAAGAGCACGTCACATGTCACATTTCACACTGCGGTATTGGGAGCTATTTTTTTATGTAAGATTCCTTAAGGAAAATAAGTATTAATGAAGTGACTGAGAAGGCAGACAAAGGTTTAGGACATAGTCTTAAAAAGGGTATGTCCTTCTGTGATCACCAAAGCCAGCACCCGGGTGTAGTTAAACCATGGTGCACCAGCTTTTCACTAGCCGGCTCCCCAAAGAGGACTTCCCCGAGGCCGTGGACTGGGGGTGTTTGGAGATGTGCCCTGGAATTCGGGGATACTTACGCTGTTGCTGGGTTGGCCACCCCCCACGCAGACGACGTCCTGCCTTTGGATGGTCAGGGCTTCCTGTGTCAGCCTCAGTCGGACGTCATAGGCGTTTTCTGACACTTCATCGTACAACAGCGCGAGGGTGGTTTTGGTCTGTGGACAAAAAGCAGGAATGTGGACAATTGCATCAGTCCAGGGGCCTGGTGGACAGGAGCGCACATTCCTGTCAACAACCTGGGCTGCACACTCGTGCTTTTAGTGAGCACAGTGCGTTTGTGTGGTGAGACTCTGATTGATCCACAGGTACAGTAAGACAATCCACTAGCTGGGCTTTTCTTCAGGACGACCCTGGACTCGGGAGCTGAGCTGCCCTGGTGTCCCACAGATGCTACTGTACTTGACCGCCCCGGGCAGCACCTGTGCCACCTGCAGCAGGTTCCAGGACAACAGTGCAGCCCTGCCGCCTCCTGACAGTGGACCTGCAGGACCCTGAGAGGACTTGAGGAGCAGTGTGATAAGTAGCAGGACCTGAAACATGGGACCCAGAGGGTCAGCACAAGAAGGACCTGGTCAGTGGCCACAGCAGGTGACACCAGGGCCTGTCACCACAGAAAGCGGCAGCCACCTTCTGAGGAAGGGACTGGCACTGCACTGGCTGCCCTGGACAAGCTCAGTCCTCAGATGACATCAGAAGGTGCAATAGCGATCCAGGTCGATGTGCAAAACACACCATGCACAAAACGTTCTTAACTTTCACTAACTCCCAACACCGCCCAGACTTCCGTGGCATCAGCGTGTCCCCTGGTGAGGAAACTGCCTGCACCCAGGGACCCAGGGACCCCAAGAGCAAAACAGCTGAGCTTACAGAGGAGGAGGAGCTGCCCAGGATGAAGGTCGAGGAGAGGTGCTGGGCTTTCCTCAGCCGAGCAGCACGTTCACGTGTGCGATTTACTGATTAACACTGCACATTTAAACGTTAGCTAAAGCATCAGGACTCCTAAGTCAACCAGGATCGTCTGCCACTGAGCCAGGCGACGCTTCTGACACAAGCCCAGCCTCCGTGCAAAATGTTACAAAGCAAAGTCAGGAACCAAAACAAACTGGAGATAATTAAGCATTCCAACTCCAAACTGTAATTTTTCCTACTGCTCTCTTCCATAAAAACGTTCATTTTGTGCCCAGATAGCGCTCGTCTGCCAGACATAATGACTTGCTTCAGTATAAACGTAGCACACTCTCCATGGACGTCCTATCCACGCACAAGATGCCACCACCCTGCTGAAGACACTGGCCACAGTGCTCCAAGGAAGCCCCGAGGACCATCGGGCTGGGGACCCTGAGGTGACAGCTGACAGCCCCACTGAGAAAGGCAGTGTGAAGAAGGGTCCTGCCTGCTTCCTGCCCCACTCCAAAGCCTTGAGGCTGCAGTCCTGCCCATTTAGCTAGATGACCACGTGCATTTCCTTTGCACATCACTCGAACATAAAAGAGCTACCTCTAATCAGCTTCTTCAAAGCTAAACATTTAGTTTTCCCATTTGTAAACAAGAAAACAAAACTTTAAACACTAATGAAAACAAGCCTCTGTCCCTTCCATGGCCTTCCCTCCCTTGTAGGGTCAGCATCTTTGTCCTGGGCTGCCTGTGGCTGAGGGCCCAGGCCCCCAACTGTCTCATGAACCTTGCCGTTGACTTCCCAGCATCCCACTGACCCACTCAGTGTGTTCTTCAACGCCATCTGGGAGACCTTTACAATATGGTCCAAATAATATCGTTCTCATGACAAATGCCCAAGAGTTTCCATCTGCAGAGGAAAAGCCATACCTGCATATCCCACGAGGCCTCATTCTTCCTGGTCCCCACTCAGCTGCCAGTGATCCTGCAGGGCCACCAGCACCACAGTTCTGTTCCCAGCTGCTAGTCTCCAGTCCCAGGAGGCCCCCCCACCCCATCTGCTGGAAGGTTGCCCTCAGCAGAGCTTCCCACCCTCAGCTGCAGAGTCTAAACCCCCTGACCACTCAGTGACCCTGTTCCTCTCCACCTCCCTTCCTCCCTGGGACCTGTCAGAACTGTGGCTTTTGCCCCTGGGGATCCATGTGCACCAGTCACTGCTGGGCTCCCAGCAGGACCCGGTGCATCCTGGGGCATGTGATGTGCTTTCCGAGTGAGTGGCACAGACGTGGTGCCCACCCGTTAGCATACATGCTCCTGAGATTCATAAAGATTGGCACCAGAATTCTAGAGTTGTATTTCTGTAACATAAGTAGGTACTGGGGACACTGTGCAAAACCATAAATCCGTTCGGCATTGCAGCACCATTGCGGAACGACCAGGTCAGAGAACCACAGCAGAGGCCTTGGAAGACCCCCGTTGTACACAGGGGTTGATTATACAACGGAGAAACCGACAGCTCAGAGAAAGGGCCATTTAAGGAATGTGCTAACTCCAGACATGGCTGTTGTACACCTTCCTTCAAAGAACAATTTCCAGAGGTCCACAATTATAAAAATGTTTACGTGATCTAAAGTCCATAAGAAAACCTGTGTGTGTGCATGTGTGTATGTGTGCACGCGTGTGCATGTGTGTACATACATGCTTTGAAGTAAAGCACGTGTGTGTGTGTGTGCATGCATGTGCATGTACGCCATATTGGGTCAGATTGATGCCAAAGCTAGAAACTGGTTTTGGTACTGGAGTTTGAACTCAGAGCTTCATGTTTGCTTGGCTGCCACTCTGCCATAGGAACTGCACCTCAAGCCCTTTTTTCTCTGGTTATTTTAGAGATGGGTTCTGCTTTTTGACCAGGCTGTCCTATCTGAAGCTTCCCACAATTACAGGGATGACAGGTGTGAGCCACCACACCCACCTTTTTTCCTCTGAGGTTGCATTTGGGAACGTTTTGTCCAGGGTGGCCTGGAACCAAGATCCTACTGATCTCAGTCTCCCCCATAGCTTAAGGGCATGTGCCACTGCACCCAGCTATTGGTTGAGATGGGGTCTGAAAAGTTTTTGCCCAAGCTGGCCTGGAATTGCAATCCTCCTGATCTCAGCCTTCCAAGTAGCTAGGATTACAGGCATGAGCCACAGGTGCCCAGCCAGAATTTCCTGAGAGAAAGATTAACTGACTTTGTGGTATAGAAATATATATGTGCATATAGCAGACACTAGGTTTATGAAAGAAGTCTTACAAATAAAGATGGAAGGTGAGCATTCTAGTAAAATTGAGCATGGAACATGAAGAGTAATCCCTAAAAGAAAAGAATATAAAACTTCATTCACCAAAGAATAAAATGAGCGAAAAATCTGAAATGAAATGCAATCCCGTCAGTCATGGAAGAATCACAGTTACCCCAAGAATGGTTTATGAGTTTCTTAAACCATGAGGTCAGCTCATGATTAAGGACAGAGACACCCATTGTCTGCACAGACATGGCGACAGGTGTGCACAGGTGTGTGGGGGGCACACATGTTCTGGAAAATGACTTTCAGGAAGTCATCCTGCAAACTCAATCACACAGGGTGCTGAGAGTGATAGGCTCACCTCCTCTCTTCACTTGTAAAGCTCCCTGGCATGTGGGTGGCCAAGAGGCCACTAAAATACTCAGTTCTCTATCACTTGATAAGCAAAAGTGTCCAAAAATATCACTGCTTGAACAGCAGAAGAGTGTGACAGTCACTAGTATATTGAAACTACGCTTATGAGAACGTGAGTGTATACATATGTGTAGACAGACACACACAAAGTTAGAAAGATAGGGTTTATACATAAATATCTATTTTTAAAATTACGAGCATGCATTGTTTATGACTGCCTACTTAATATCTGTCAACTTCTAGTTTATTGGGTCCTGACTTTGGCTGCTAAAGTTTATTTCCTTCCAAGCAATTTAAGCTGGGGCCTTACTAACTTAGAAGAATCAGAACCACTGCATTGCCTATTTTACAGGCTTTTCACATATTTATACACTGAGTGCCCGAACGGTTCATGAATCTATTTGTCACAAGAGCACACTGAAGCTTGTTAATCGTTCAGACAAAAGAGAAGTGTTTTCTAAAACAGAAACACTTGATAAAAAAAAAATCACAAACTCTGACTCAACAAATACTCATTTGTCAATTCATTAATTAATTCAGCGTGAAGAAAATGTGTACAAATAGCTGTAATATGTTTTCCTTTACTTATTCAGAAGAGACTACGGTTTCTTCACTGAACTGTTGACGTAATGTGAATTACAGAGGGAACATCAGACACCGAGACAAACGTAAACACCAAGAGCTGCTGAATCACAGAGCAGGGGAGATCCTAACCACCCAGCTCTGCGGGATGGGGAGAGACGGCTTTGGAGTTTAGCCCAGGCTCGGACACATGCTGCCGAGGGGACCCACGTGGTACCTTGTTGTAAAGAGTCTAAACCCCTAGCCCATGTCTTGGTTTACCAGTGGTAAAGACTCCGTGGACATAAATTAGCACGCTATTGTGTAAGTGGCACTGGATGTGACTGTGCTCGTGCAATATGGACACAACTAGAAGACCCTGGAGGACAGTGCGGGGACCAGGTGACACGCAGGTAATCCCTGCTTGGCCACAGCCTGTCTGGCTTCTCTCATGGCAGGCAATTTCAGCTTCCCTCAGAGACAGAATAGGTAAGCAGGTAGTATATGAAAGTTCCTGACAGAAAACCTGTCATAGAACGGTGTAGCTGGATGTGATTTGGTAGGCTATCTTTTTGCAGTTGAATTTGACCATTTTGGGAAGCGGAGAGAAATGTAGACCTTTTGGGTCTGGTGGTATGCCACATGGCTGAGAGAATGAGGCACCAGCAAGAGCCATGTAAGCAGAAGTCATCTGAGTGAGGAAATCCCATACTCTGGATTTTACAAAGACATAAACCCAAGTAATTCAGACAAAAAGAGAAACAAGAGTTCACTAAAATGCATTTTGAGCCAAACCCTGCTTGTCTTCCAGGGTGAGAAGTGGAAACACAACAAATTCATTTTATATTAACAAGTAACAACAAAAAGCTTTATTTTGAAAAAAAGGAGGGAGGGATAATATTCTGCCCACAAACACGAGAGTCTGACATTTTAAA